CTGGAAAATCAAAACTCAGAATTAGACCGGACCTATTTGGTACGGCTCAAAATTCAATTAAAATTGAAAATATAGTCGTTATTGGGTCCCACTCATCTAATAAAAGTCAACAATAACGGCTAATTTTTCAATTTTAATCCGATTTTAATTTCTACCAAACACCATCTATAAACTTCATCAAAATTCAATTAAAATTGAAAATATAGCCGTTATTGGGTCTCACTCATCTAATAAAAGTCAACAATAACTGCTAGTTTTTCAATTTTAATCCAATTTTAATCTCTACCAAACACCATATCTGCAACTTTGCAAATCTCCGTCGAAAACCTATTTTTTCAGTACAAATCCGCAAATCAAAACCCATTGTTTCAGTACAAATTTTTAAATCTCTGTCGAAGCTATCTTATGAAATCAGATAGTAAAATCAGGGAGAAATTAATTAAACTTACAGTTCAATCTCCCTTAGTAGCTGACCTTAGACAGGATCTTCCCTTGTTGCCATGACTACTATCATATGAGTTCTTTCCATCCAAAGAAAGAAATCCATTACCTCTCCCGACAACCTTGGCCTGAGAATGTGGATTAAGTGGTGATCGTTCAATGCTGTACTCGGAGCCTGCAATTCGCCTTGTAGGTCCATTGGACCTTGCTCTACGGCCTCCATAGTTGCGATCCGTTGATTCATTAGAAGATTTATGAACCATTTTTTCACTTCGAGCTGGCGAATTACTCTATTGTCAAAAATCAAAGTCTTCCTTGCTCATTCTATTGTCAGGCGTTGGCATCACTGCTCCCCTTGCAATTGGTTCCACTAGTCTATCTCTCATGGGCCTTGTAAGAACAAGAACAGAGCTTCAACGGAGCCCCAAACACCATACCTAAACCAAACCTTTTATTATTAAAAAAAATGTAAAATTATCATTTTAAGATTTTAAAATCAGTTAGAACTATTGTCAAAGACAATTGTTTGATCAACTAACAATCAAAGTAACAGAAATCTTCCATTTGGACTTCAGCCGCGACATTTTGAAATATTTGGTACCATGGATGCAACAAATGAAAAGTTTAGACAAAATCTACTACTTAATAAAATGTTCGGTATCACTGCTGTAGCTATCCATAAAATTAACTAAGATCAAGAAAGAGACACGAGCTAATCTGTTTCGAGCACATCAAATTGTTGTGTTAAAGTTGGATGAGTTACTTGAATTTTTAAATAACCCGAATTACTCATCTACTTTATTTTGAATCANAATAACCCGAAATACTCATCTACTTTATTTTGAATCATATGATAATCTTTAATCATCGAATTGTTTCAATTTGCCACTTCCTTGGATAAGCTTATGCAAAAACATGCAAACTAGGGTAATTCAACGGTTTGAATACATTTCTCCTTCAAGCGACTTGGAAGATTTACATTAATTGCATATGCTACATTCATATGACTTTAAGGAAAAAATAAATAATAAGAATTTAACATTACTTCTACAATAAAAATTTAAATTCGATATACGTAAAAGGACATTTTATAAAGATATAAGTACACATAAAAATTTTCCTCTCTAAAACCTAATCTTTTAAGATTTAAGTCATAGAACTATGGTCTTCTTAATAAGCTAGATCTCACAGCGGCGCTATTTGGTACCAATTAAAATTTAGATCAAAGTCATCAATTCATTTTAACCACATATTTTATGGGTCCCACAATTTTTCAACCACTTATTCAATCACATATTTCATTAACTTTTATTAAAATCAACTAAAAGTTCGATTTTAATCATCACCAAACAGAGGTTATACAATATTGTGCTACAAAAAAAGGTATAATTTGGGTTTTAAAATACTACCTACAAATGTTATATCTAAAGGGCATATTTGATATGTAAAATTAGACCATATTCAATATGTTTTAAATTCTGTCAAATGTTCCACTGTCTATTTTATTAAACATGTCAAAAACGTTCTTGACATGTATAGACGAAGTCATTATTCTGCACCCTAGGACAAGCCAAGAAAACATAAAAGTAATTGAATGAAAAACTCTCTGAAGTCTCTTTACAAAGAATATAGCATGTATTTTTTCGACTACGCATATGTACTAAATTTGTATTTAGAGTCTAAGTACTTTCGTCTTCTCTAGATAGATATTGTGGTATAGCAGAAACGGGTAAAAGGTTTCTAGTTGTTGAGAATTTACTTAACATGTACACCAAAATTTAAATTAAATTTTCAATTCTCACTAAGGATCTTCTTTATGCTTAGAGAAAAATTGTGATAAAGAATTATACTTTTGCTGAATTGTTTGAAGAACAGTTTTGATTTGTAATCCATAACTGTCTAATTGTCCAATTTTTAATGAAAATCCATACGAGGAACAAAATTGAAGGAACTAGGGTTTTCTTTTCTTTTGCTTACAGGAGTAATGAATTGTGTGGTGTTATGAATTTTCAAACCCTAATAGCCTATTAATAAAAGTCCAAGTGAGCTTAGGATGTCTCCAAAACTTAACCCGATTCAATTAATCCAATTAACAAGCAACTCAATTAATTAATTATATAACACTTGTTAATTAATTAATTAATTAGTTAATCTCATTCTTCTATTAATTATTTTGTGTGTGACTTATTAGATTTTCGATCAAAATGCCACCGACGCGAATGATTATTTTGATCTAATCAAAATCGATAAATTAAAATACCCCTTTTTAATTTATCTCCAATTAACATTCGTAGTCCCAAATTGATATTTAGCAACGTGTCGAGACAATACCTATGGTGAAAAATGTCACGTGGTATGACAAAATCGAATATATTCGTTTACTGTGAAACTAAAATTCTTTTGTCAATATAATCCGATTAATTACGAGATATAGATATCTGTTAATTTCAATTATCGATCACATCTTTCATTCAACCATTAAGACTTAAATGCATTAAACATATTCAAAGTATTTACAACCTAAATCGATTGGATTTAGGATACAATATTTTCACTAATAATCGGTTTCGATCCTTGAATAATTCATTGCAGTTTTATTTCTACACTTAAAAAAGTCAACCGTACAGTTATAAAAAAATATGAATTAAGAGGAAAATTATTCAGCTATAATAAATAATAAACCACATGGGAATTATCGAAGTATCCATCCTACAAAATGGGGACCAATCTCTTTAGAGTCTAGATAGGGTAACTTTCAACTTGGATAGTCTCAGGAAATGGTTACAACTTTCAAATAATTACTAGATTGCCATTGATTTTTTTATTTTTTATTTTCTCTCCAAGAAAAAAAGAAGTAATTGTTTCATTATAAACCTACCACATTTCATATCAGATTTAAATTATTAATTCGAAATTAATTTAAAAAATTAAATGTACGAATTTAATTTATAACATGAGGTAATTCTGCGTATATTGTTTCAATAACCGATTAAGTCGATAGTTAATAATCTCAAATTATAACATACACGAACTTATATATATATATATATACAGA